ATAAATTGTCATAACTCCGAAGATACGTTGCGTCCAATTTATGGGAGCAACGCATTTTTCCTTAAGTTTTCCCAAGGAGCGACACGCGATACCGAGAATATATAATAATGAAATTTTCAAATATTCCCAGAGGAGGTTTCCGGTTCCTTTGAGTTCTCCTAAACCGCCTTTATGGCGGACTCTAATTTCCCTTATCGGAGTCTTCTTCGCACTCTTATCGGGTTCGTCTTCTTCTTCCTCCTCTCTGCGGATCCCTTTGAAAATCGCGATAGGGTTTCGTCGTTTCGAATTCCCGATAACGGCCGAGACCGCATTTCCCCCGCTAAAGCCCCGGTTAGAAGTCGATCTCCTTCCTGGGTTTTCCGCGCGGCGGAATATTTTCCGGCCCGCGGAAATCGCCTGGCTGGGCCGCATCTCGCGCTCCGAGGACCGCGGCTAAATTTGGCAGCGCGACAACGAATCGACGCGGATAGAGAAAAAATGTTTTCCTTGCATTCTAAGCAACTTGGGAAACGAGTCGAGCTTTTCCGGGGTATCTCGAGCTCATCGGGAAATTCTCTCACGAGGAGCACACGGGGAAAGCCGAAAATCCCGGCGGGTAATAAATCCGCATTCCGCCGGACTCTCGCAGCCGATCGGTGGGAGCATCCACTCCGGGCAATAAATTCTTCCCGGCAATAATTGTATGATTATAATTGCCACGCCGACTCGCGATGGGATGTACGTGTATATATGTGGATATACACCCAAGGTTGTATATATATTTGGAGCACGTATGCTCGTAAATAGAAGGCGAGCTGACGGGCTCCGAGGGTGGGTACCATCCATGGACGTTTCGGCTACATCGGTTACTGTACACCTCCTTACCTCCCAAGAAAATTTACGGCCATTTTCCGGAGATTAAGGAAAATTACGAACGTGCCGTTACCCCGGGAAATGAAATTCTCGGGAGTTACGGTATTTTTTAATTGTTCGAGAGGTCCTAGAGAGGCTGCGCACATTTTCGGCTCCTACCCCGTCGAGAGATTTCTTCGGTTAAGATCAATGATTTCTTTGAATAATGCTTATTCGGATCAAATGGCAGGATTCTAGGGGGATGGATAATTACCCGGGGAGATATTTGCTTTTCATTCGGATCGACACGAGGATGTGCGTTTCCGCAGGCGGTTGGAAAGCTCCTAATTGCGAGAGAAAAGCTCGATCGCACTAATCCTTCGCGAGGACATGAATAATTCACGGAAGCGACACCGACGTGTAAACGGCAATTAGTCAACGTCCATGAAGCTCGTTTCGAAAGTCCAGCTTTTTCGAAGCTCGACTTCAAGGTCCAAGCTTTATTTTTGCGGGATCTCGCATTCGGATTAACTCGACGGAAATAATTATTCCTTGAATTGACGAAATATTTCTTTGCTTATGTGAATTTTTTATCTCGGCACGTGGATCACGGATGGCGACCATCCTCGCCTACATATTGATTAATATATTCTGAAAACGCGGATTCTAAGGGGGGGATCTAATTTGAAAAGTCTCCAGGGACTTCTTCAGATTTCCTTGGAATTAATTCCCCGGCCATTGGAAATGCATTACAGCGCATGCACCGCACGAACAGTCATCCGGTGGGTAACTTTCCGCATTACTCGGGATAAATCTAAGAGTCGGGGGGGTAGCGGGGAAAAAAGGCGAATTAAAGCCCCGAAGTGCACTTCTCGAAGTCCCTTGCATACGCTTGGCGGCTTCTCGGTTTATGCAAATCAGGACAGAGTCAACCAGCCCCGGGTAAATAGGAATATATCCCGGAGTCGGAGGTACTCGCGAGTTACGCGCTCGCGAATGGCTTTTACTGCTATTGTTACGCCGGAAAGTCAACCGAGTATCTGGCATTGTTCTAAGGAGAGGGAAGATTTTTGCCCTTTCGTAGGAGTCCCAAGAGTTTTCGGGATCGATCGACTGCGGGCATATTGAACAAAATGGGACCCGCTCGAAAGAATTGACCTCGTGGAAATCGCCGAAGGAGGGCAATTCCGCCGGAGGCACCGTCGAAACGACGCGTTTCGGACGCTAAGTAAAGCGTTGGCATTGATTTGCGTATTGACCTCTCGTTTGCCTCGTTAATTCCGCCCGACGGGAAACTCGTCGTCGGGGCGAGATTCGTTAACGCCCGTCGAATATTAAGCGCGTCAGTCGTGGAAAATCTGTCCGAGGGAATTTTTTTCCCCGGTCCCCCCGTTTTCCCATTTCCGGACACCGGACGTATCCTGATTTCCGAATGTCCTCGCGGATCCCGAAAATCGTCCGCTTAAGAAGCTGAGAAAAAAAAAATTGAGGAAAACGTTCTTTTCACGATTTCCGCATTTTTCAGACCGTGGCGTATATCAGAATGTCTGAACTTCAGAACTTCAGAGTTTCCGTGATTTCCAAGTTTCTGAACGTCTGGATTTATTAATGTTGCGAATTTCAGTATTTTCGAAAATTCACATTTTCTGAATTTCCCTCCTCTCCTCCGACGAGAACCAGGGGGAGTTTCTCGATACTCGGTATGAAGAGGAAAGTTGGGAAGAGTTTGTTAAAGCCGACGTAGAAGGGGCCGAGAGAGGACAAGTTCTTTGTCGGTGTCCGAGGGGGCTGAATCGACTCATTTCCGAGGCGATTAAAACTGCCTCGTCGAATCAAAATCGGCGTCGCGTTAATGGACGATCGATACCATCTCACGGTCTCCCCCAGGGTGGGGGTTTCGGCCCCAATCAGGCAAAAATTGCACGTTAGCGCGGTTTTCAAAAGCGATCGGCGACTTTGCACTTGACGGACCAAAGTGGGCTTTCATTCAGACACCGGCGGATAAAAAGCTCGGAGCTAACGAAAACCCCACGAAAGCCCGAGTCATATGCAAATACTTGCCCCGGTGCTTTTTGCAGGATACTTTTTCCCATTTACTCCACCCTCCGCCTCGTATCGACTTTCAATTTCGCCCCTGCGCGTGCTTATCGAACACTTATCGGCTCCCAATTGAAGCTGGCATGGTGGCGGCTCAAAACCCACGATTCGAAATTTCGCGAGTTGAAAAAAAAAATTAAGAAAAAAAGATAGAGTAGCAAATACATACCATTGACATACAAATCGTAACAGGAATCGTGTATTATCGCAAGGAAGAATTATTTTCCCGGGAGAATTGACGTTGTCGGTTAATGGGAATTTCGTTTACTCAGTCTGACGTTTCTTCCCACGTGCTCGACATTTTGTAGTCACGTTGCACCCTTCCTTTGAGTCGTCCAGCTTTTTGTCCTCGGTACGCCCGAATTCGAATTCGCCGGGACGTAATAAAATCCCGTGGGAAGTGGACTCTTGACTTTTTCGATGCTTTTTCTCCTACTTTTTTTTTTTTTTCGTTTTTAGTATTTACTTTTCGCCGTCCAGCGACAATGTTTCCGGTTCTCCTCCCTCCTCTTGGCCTCTACATGTCAGGGGCTGCATCGGATCGATCCGGCTCTTCGGTGCATACATGCGCTAAACAGTACAGCTGTGACTTTGTCATCCTGTATATAACGTCAAATGTCAAATACATCCGGCCACGTGGGCGTCGGATATTAGGCCTAGAGCCATCGAGAGAGTATCGGCTCATTGTCACCCTCGGATCTCGCAATAAAGCCGAATTGCATCTGGCTCCGAAAAAGTCCCCTAACCGCCAGAGCTGAATGAAAAAAAGTCAAGTAACAAAAAATGTGATAAATAAATGTAGAAAACCGGCTACCGACCCGGAACGTCGCGCCGAGGATTTTTCATCCCCCGAATGGACCGGCCAAAGTCGGACGTCAAATGCCAGGCTGCCGGATATTGGCATAAAAATCGCCGGCCGGGTATAAAGTCGATCGCGGGATTAAAGGGAAGGGAGTAAAAAAGCATAAAAAAGGAGGTGGCAAAAACTCTTGCCCCCGAAATTGCGGCTCGATACGGCCAATACGGTTTCGCCGATTGATCGGTGCATTCGGAGGGCTGAACCGGCCCTCGCGGTGAAACGGCAGTAAACGGAGTTGCACCGGCCCGTTGCACATTCCCAGGATATTAAAAACTTGAGCGAGCAGTCCCCGGGAGTTACAGGACTGCCGCCCTTTATCCTAGGAAGAAAAAAAAAATATCGGATTTTGTTTAAATCGGCAACAATTTTTCTTTTCAACGAAATAATTGTCCCTTGCAGTTGTATATGATTCAGAGAAGAATTTATACTTGTTTCAGTCAAGTGATGATTTTTTTTCTCAGAGTATATAGGCAGAGGATGTAATTCCCAGTCGGGGCGCGTAACAATCGAGGGGTCGGTGAAAAAAAAAATAAAAATAGGGGATGCTCCGTGTTTGCGTACCGACCGCGTGTCGAAACTTTTACATCCCTGTGTTTCATTTCATTTTCGCATGTTTTCGTTGCACCCTTTTTCGTTTTCTTTTTTCATTTTAATCTTGCTTGTTAGCTCGCAACCCCTCCCCTGCTCCCTCGCCGATCGGCTCTATGAGGATTCAATTTACAGAGCATCGATGTGTCGATGCTTACGTTTACACCCTGGAGAAGCTGCCCTTGTTTCTCGTATTCGAATCGGCAGACGAAAAGGGTTGAGGAAAGAGAGATTCGAGTTTACGACTCGGCCAGGCACGCCGTATCGCCCTCGCCCCTGTCACGGGGGTGCCGTTTCTTTTCGACGTTCACCCCTCGTAAAAAGGAACTTAAGGTACGATCGAAGGGTCCCGAGGGCTGTTTCCACCGAGGCGCGACATATCGAGGCGAAGAGGCACCCCTTTGTCGCGAGACGTAAACGGAGCCGCGCGTTTTCTCCGGAGGTCGGGCAATCGGTCACCCCGGCGTCGAGCTCCGTCGGCGTCGCTCGATATCCGCCGATACCTATCGATACCCATTGAAATCCATCGAAACCCATCGAAATCCATCGGTACCCATCGGTGGCGTCTAACTCATGGCCGCCATTTTCAAAGTCACTCCACCCCCCCAGGGAAAACGATAACTCATTCTGGGGAGAGAAATAGTGAGTTTGTATCTTTAATGACATTGTTAAAAATAGTTAGAGATTTTTTCCCCCATTTTCTGATGACACTGGGGGTCGCGTCGGATCGGGGTCCAGGAACGTCCCCTATCCAGGGGTCGAAGAGTCCCCATAATCGGGGCCGAACCGCAAATCCCGTGACGACTCACCGTTAATGGCGAGGAGCTCGGCAGGTGCCCTGAATTGTGCGGTATGGAGAGCCAGCTCACCGGTGTCAGCAGCGGCCTGGAGGAGCTGATGATGATGCTGCCTGGTGGAGGAGCGATGCCGGTGGACGCTGTTCAGGACGATGTTGCTGGAGGTCTTGCTGAGCGCCTTCCTCTGGCGCACGGCCTCCTTGTAGATCTTGCAGTACATGACGATCATGACCAGCCCGGGGAACCAGAAGGACACGGAGGAGCTGATGACGGCGTAGGTTCGGTTGACGACGAAGACGCAGGTCTGCGAAGGAAGACGAAGAGACGGTGACCTCGAAGAGGACGCCGAAGAGAAATTCGAAGACGCCCCACTCACCTCGGGGTTGTCGAGCATGAACTCGAGATGCTCCTTGGTGGTGTACCACCCGGTGAAGATGGGAGTGAAGCTAAGAAGCGCCGGCAGGACCCAGGCGCTGCCCAGCATGCATCCGACGGTACCCTGGCGCATGATGACCGTGTACTCCAGGGGGCTGACGATGGCGTAGTACCGGTCGACGCTGATGCAGCAGAGGTGCCAGATCGACACGGTCGAGAAGTAGACGTCGAGGGAGTTCCAGACGTCGCACATGAACCTTCCCAGCAGCCAGCGTCCCCCGGAGAGCTCGACGGAGGCGTTGAACGTCATGGCGCAGATGGCGACCAGCAGATCGGCAGCAGCCAGGCTGACCACGTAGCAGTTGGTGACAACCCTGAGCCTTCGATGCCGGCGAACGCTGGCGATCACCAGGGCGTTCCCCAATACGGCGGTGGTGATGATGGTGCCCATCACGACGCCCTTCAAGATAACCACGAGGACGCCCACGTTCTCCGGGAGGTTCTCCACGGTGGGGTCGCCGGCGGGGGCGGTCGTGACGTTGCCCCCGGGGGTCCCGCTCGAGTTGCCCCCCCCAGCGGCGCCGTTCGTCGAAAGAGGGTCCGCCGTCGTCGTCGTCGCGGCCGCCATGACGTTCAGCATGGTCCCCGACACCCTGACCCGAGCCCGCTCTCGGGTCGACCTAGGACACGGCGCGGCCCCCGCGACCCCCCGCGACCCGCCGCACCTGTCGCACCTGTCGCGACCCCCCGCTGCACCTGCCGCCGCACTTCCGGCCCCCCGCCGGGCTCGGAACCGCAAGGACCGGCATCTTGCGATCCTCGCCGAGCTGCGGGGGGTGGTCAAGTCCCCGTGCCCTTTGATAATCCCGCCGGTGAAGAGTCCTCTGCACCTTACTCCAGGAATATCTCCACGGTCCAGGAATTTTTCGCTTGTCCGTTATCCCTGAGAATTTTTTGGATTTCAAGGGATGACCGAGAAACCACGCACCTTCTCTCGACTCCGGGTCTCAAGGGTCATTTAAAAAAAATTTTTTATTTTAATAATAATCCTGAAATTGGACAGTTAGCGCGATTTGAGAGGACGGATTGTCAGGAATCGAGAGGCTCGTTTTCGAGGTAAAGAGAGGAAACCAAGACCCATCGGCGAAATCAGTGGAAAGTCGATCCAGGGATGGTGGATTGGAGATGTCTAGAGACGCGCAACCACTCTCCCGTTTGTAGAGTGCGGGGCTCGCGGAACCTATCGCGGAAAGAGTCTCGTTTTCCTCTTTCTTCGCTCCCTCCCCCCTCACCCCGCAAGGGGAACGTCAAAGCTTTCTCCGAGTAAAACTTGTCGCATCCGACGACAATAATGGCGACGGCTTTTACGTGGCCGAGGGAAAGAGTGATGTGCGCCTCTTCGGGACCGGCATGACAGCCTCCGACGAAATGCTGTCGGATAAATCACCGGACCCGATCTCGAACAATTCCTGGCTCCGAAAAAAACAAACGACGCGGTTATGAATTAATACAAGAGGGAAATATTCCCGACGGGGACGAGAACCCGGAGGGGAATTCTTCCCTCGGGACCGAAACGAGGAATGCCCCTCGTTTTACATCGCTCGTACGTATCGGGACTGTAGGGTCATCGCGGATTTCGGCATTGTAGATAAAAAAGGAGAAACGACAAAGGAGAAGAATAAAAAAAGGAGCGGCCAAATCGGCCGCGATTGTTCGCGAATTCGAGCGCTCGGACGAAGGGGGTGGAGGTGGTTTTCGCGGGGAGGGAGACGACGCAAAAACAATCGTTTACGACGGCGACGCCAAATCCTAACCCCCCCAACCCCACCCCCTAGCTCTTCCACCGAAACGTCCGATTCGACATTTAATTGTGACGTGCTGAATCGACGGAAGCCACCCTCCGCGAAATTCTGTTCAATTAGGGGCCATTAACGGGGAATGCCGAAATTGACGTTCGAATTTCCAACCCCCAGGCCGGAATGCATCCTATTCTGGGGAAACTATTTTTTTCATTTCTGGATTTTTAATCTTCATGGTTTTAATCCTCCCTTTGGGGGGGTCCCATTATCGACGGTCGCGGAGACGCCAAATTTTGGACGTCCAATTTTTATCGATTTTTAGGGTCTTTGCCGCTTACTTGGATGTGCAAGACGATGATATCCGGGGATGGTAAAATTTGCAAGAATGAATTTTCTCCGGGTGTTAAGTTTCTTCAAGATGTGGAAAAGAAAAAAAATCTGTACGGCAATATGCTCCGATACGTAAGACGCCCTCAAGGAGTTCGGAATCTGCAGGAGAGGGGAGGAATTTCCGTAAGTGAGATATAAGAAAAGTTTTCACTCGGGGGACGAATTTCCTCGGCCCAGAGCCGCGTCAAAGGGAGACTTCTTCCCCGGCGACTGGTTCTCTAGGAATGATTAATAAGTTTTCAAGCCGAGGACAATGGGACCGGGAGGAATCCAGGGGAATTACAGAAGTTCCCCGATCGGCGCGCTTCCGGGAAAGCGGGGATTTTCCATGGTGTCCCACCCCGGAACACCCTGGCATTCTTCGAGCACCTCGGTGATCAACCCCATCGGCCGTTTTACCCGAGGCGAGAAATTGTTTGCCGGGAGAGAATTTCATCGGGAGGCGTTTCGCGAAAATGGGAGGCGATCGCGAACCCCCGGCCGTGTCGTGAGTTCTAGGGGAAATGTTTTTTAACCACAGGTTTAAAGCCGCCGAGGAAGGAGAGGAGGAGCCTCCGTAATTCCTTTACTCGGAGCCATGAATCTTGAAAGATGAAGCCGCCTTTCGAATGCATCAAACGGGTCGGGGGTAATTTCGACCCCGGGGGGTTTATGCCTCAAAGCGAGACGTTCCCGCGGAGTCTTTTTAACCGTCTCAGTTACACCCTTCCCGGGACGTTTTCTCGCGAATTACGAGACTTTTTACGCCGTGAAGCAGTGCCGGGGTTAAAAATTAGAGGAGGGAATGGCGCGGCGGGGATTCCAGAATTTAAGGGAACTTGGAAGTGCCATCCGAAGAGTCAATCGTTCATGAAACTTTTCTCCAAACTGAGTATACCGAAACGTTTCAATCCTCGCAACGTGGACGCGGAGGCTTTAAGGAATCCCCTAAATCATCTCTAAACAAATTTAGAGAGATATGAAATTTTCCGCACGGATTACGAATTTTGGGAGGATATTTTTATTCATCTTGGAGTTCGTTCCAAGAATTTCAGGAGTGCTCGCGGAAGTCGGAGAAGAGATGAAAATCGAGGCGCGTTTCGGAGCCGCATGGGGTGCGGCGATGTCAAATTTGGAATAAAGAACGACGCCCAGTCGTAGTTACCGGAGCGCGGGGGGCGAGTAATCGCACCCCGTAAATCCGCCGCGGAAACAATTCCCGGCCATTATTTCGCGAGGCGCTCTCTCCATTTCCCGGGCCGTTAATAACAAGGGAATCATTAACGCTCCCTCCCCGAGGTCCAGCCCGATGCAGATCTGGAGTTCCTACACCCTCGGAAGATCAAAGCCCACCCCCACGTGAGTTGCACCCCTCGAAAATTGGCCAGCTTCGCGAGCCCGTCCACCGACCCCCGGAAAACTCACCGGCACAAAGAAATCGCAACGAAAAATCCACCCCAGCTATTAAATTATTCCCGAAACTACCCCCGGCACGGGGGGCGTCCCGGGGAACGGGATTAATTCCCGACCGGACGCGCGGCCGAAATTAAATGGGGGAAATGGGAGGGAAAATAATCCCCACGGTCCCGTGGAAATAAACTTTTCCGGGCATCCTGGCCGAGGATGAAAAATCCGCCGGCAAGTTTCCCCTCGCCGAGAAGTCTCCGGAAAGTGTCCGACAAAATGTGGGAAAATCTGTAAGAGCGTATGGAATATTGGAAATTAAGATTCATCATTTTATAAATTTTTTTACTATTTTTTTTTTGTGCAAGGGGAATAGGGTAGGTCGTGTTCCGGGAACCTCGAGAGCTCGAGAGGGGGCGAGGGCGGACGGCGTGGTTCCGGGGCCAGGGCTGTCCCTCCGATCGGGGCCTCATCGGCAATGGGGCCCGACGAGGGGGCCCCATGGGTCGACCGGCACTTTTTCATTCATCGTTGACGCGCACACCCGATATATAGGAGGAGCCCCGAAGACTCGCGCGGACTACGTCGACCGGGGCCGCGGATCAGGGCGCACTGCCGCGGCTGCGGCCCGCGAGTTCGCGAGTCCGCCGCTGGCGGCGCTGCGCCGCTAAACAACCCCTTCCCGGGGTGAGCGAGAGAGAGGGTAGGCGCGAAAAGGGGGCCGGGAGGTGACGGACAGAGAGGGAGAAACGGATCCCTGCGAACCCGGATATGTGCATTGCACCGAGGAAAAAGATTAGAAACAATGACATATCGTTATCGTTAAGGTGATACGAAGGGGTCATTCCATACATGAACGTCAAAATATCTATATCACTTTTCCCCAAACTGGGTTTGCCAATCTCTCACCCCCTGAAGAGAGGCGTCTCGAAGGGACCATCGAAGGTCGAGAATAGCCGGACGACTTACGTAAGGGGGAGACTTCGGTTTCCGGTTACGCAAGGGTGGTTCCACCCCGTCTTAGGCGAAACCGCTTAATACGTCGGGAAGCTCGTAGGAGCTTGTAGCCGTGTCAACGGTATGTCCATAATTCAATTACCGGCTATTTTTAGGAGCGAGGATGCAGTCTCGATCGAGGGTGCGCTCCCCATTCATTCTTTCCTCCCCTAGGGGCGAATATTGTCGCGTCCACCCGGAGATTTCCAATTAATCGGGCCGATATGATAATAAGGACACGTCATAATTGAATCGGCACTGGGTCCGGCTAATTTTTCATCCCCCGATTGGGGCGCGAATACTGACGGGCGGTTTCGAGATTTCTAATTAAAGCCGCCCCGGTATTATAATATTACAGGGTAGTTTCTATCCACGCGCATGCTCGTGATCGAGAATCGATATCTCGACCTGCGGCCGATATGGTTCGATTTCACCCTTGAAGTTTCCGCAAATTGGCCGCTCGTAAGTCGCGGTTGAAATTCCCGACTCGAATACTGGCCTGGGGACTTCTCGTCCCCACTTCGAGGTCGACATCGACTTCCATGGGGAGAATCCTCGACGTATATCCTATTTTATAAACTCAGCTCCCGGATGAGCTCGGAATGCGTCGCGACGTCTTCGACGTCGGTTTCATTGCACGTCTCGTCGTGGCGTGTACCGACCTCGGGCTATGAGGAACAAGACTTCTAAGTCGATTTGCTCGACTCCGGCGCAGTTGCCTCGACCAACCCTGAGGAAGACCCTGAAGAAGCGTAACCTCGTGACTCGACCGCCTGGAGGTGCGAAAAAAAAAAGTTCCACCCAGAGGGTGGAAATTTCGACGCTCTTCGAGATTTCAAAAAGAATTTTTCTTCGGGGTGCGCTAGAAATCATCTCGAATTAGAATCTCGGGGTTTACGAGCTCGATTAATTTTCCCTAACGTCGTCGCACAATCGCAATACGGTGCTCCTGGCAGAATCCGGCTCCATAATTCGCACGGCATGACCACGCATTGATAATGAGCTGGACCAAGGATCCATAATCCCGTCCGTCTCTCCCTGACGTGCTCGTCCATCGCGACGCCTGCCCACGGAAATCGAACGACCAATTTCGCAGGAATTTCCGAACTCCTCGAAGACTTCGAATCGTGGTGCGAGGTCCTTCGAGGACCTCCTCTTAAATTATGAAGCCCCTGGACGTGCCTGGGAATCCTGAATGGCAAAAAGGGACTGGGGACCGCCGGCAGAAACTGGGAAAAAAAAAAAAAAAGAAGTCTGAGAAATTAGGAAAAATCTGGAAAATTGAGGAAAATCCCAAAGTAGGAGGGAAACTAAAATGGCACAGGGAGGGGTCCTCGATTCGGTGGTTTGAACCCATTTCCTCGATTTTTGTATCGTTTCATACGATACGATTAATTCCCGAAGATACAATCCGCGAGTCTGGGAGCGCCGCGTGGATCGTCGCCGTGAAGATTCCCGGGGAAGTAGTCAAAGTCGACGAAGTTGGCCAAGTTTTGGGGCATTTAAAGGGAGCTTCCAATTGGCAAGGCGAAAGCGGTTACAGCGGAATAGGGGTCGTACGTAATCGATGCCACGACATGCCACACGGCAACCCCTCGCGAAGGGGTTGGCCTTGAACTTAACTTGAAAAACGTGTCGGCACGGAACCGCCACGTTGCCCCTTCGGACGTCGTCCGGAATCGCGGGGACGCTTTCGGAATACCAACGAAAACCATCCCCGTGAATCGAGCCCCGATTTGCACTTCGGCGAGTCGGGCCGGCCGTCGAAATTCCCTCGAATATTCCCAGATTCCGCATTTGCAACATTTCCAGCCGCGGAAAGAAGGGAATCAATGCAACCCCATATGCGCAATTCCAGTTTCGAGATGAGTTCCAGAGGGGTGAACTTTGCAATCCGGGGTGGAATAGTTCCGACCGCCCGATGCACTTCGCCAGGTGACGCGCCCCGAAATGGCCGGAAGTTGGGGCAAATGAGCTGGAATTTCAAATCGGGCAAGTCCGCTGAAAGGGTTGCGATGCCTCTTCCACCGAGCTTTTCGAATTTGCATCCTGACCGGGCTCCATTCTCGAGTGCATCGGGCGGTGCACTGTTTCCCGACTGGAAAAATCAACAATTGCGTATACGTATCAATTTTATATATACCCCAGTGGGGGGCTTTTTTTCTCTCCTGACTTTTCCACAACGCCACGCCGATGTGATCCTCGACTTTTTGGGGTATCTCCTCGAGGAAGGGTCCGGTCGGTACTCTGCATCGTGGTGTCATCTCTGCCTCTCTATGGAGTGGCGAAGTGCATCGCAAGCTCGGTTATCGACCGAGGGACAGCGGCCTCTGATTTGCCGGCAGCTTGCGGGTTAAAGTGCCACCCTTTGCATCGATTTTCCTGAATTACCGACTATGCCACCCCCGGGGAAATTTTTTAAGTCCTGGAGGAGGGAAACTGCAATGCCCATTTGCCCCTCTTTCCTGGGGGTGGCGCCACGATCTTTAACTCGCCGTTAATATTTTTACGACCCGGATTTATGAAATCTTGTCAAAGGAAGTACCGAATTACGCAACTCCCTTATAAAGGAGAAAAATGCTGGTACCTCCATATTTTTGTCCGCATGCCAAAGCTCGGCCACGTGTGTTGATTTTTCCAATCTGTAAAAGTTGCCGAGCAAAGTGGCCGAATTGAGGAAATCGCAGGAGGCCAGTTTCCGCGATGAGGAAAGCGCATCCCTCGATGCACCTACCGCGGAAATGGCCGGCATAAATAAGTTTAATTAATTCTTTTCAGCCGCCCCCGGCCCTCCCTCTGCTCCTCGCTCCGCAGAAAGTTCCGTCGACTTCTCGACGCGATACAGCATCCTTGATCCACCGCCTCGGAATTCCGTAGCTGCGGAATTCTAATGAATACGCTTGCCGGTGAGCAGGGGCTGAAAGTGGGAGTATAAAAAAAATTACGGGGGGTGGAAAAAAAGAATAGGCAGACAAATTGCTAAGGCGAGTTTCGCCTACCCTTTTGCGGGGGAGAGTCGAGGAAATTCGGGAGCAAAGTTGAAGGGGTAAAAATGAGAGGGTGGAAAACCCAGGGCGATAGTGGAATTCCGATCTCGAGGGGTACGGCTCTCTTTTTTTATTTATTTATTTCTGCTCCCAAGCTCCCCTCCGAGTATATATTTTTTTACAATGGAGTGTACGGGCTCGGCTCAATCGAAGGGGTTCCATTTCCCTGGACTACGGGACGACACATTCTGAGATCCTTTTCTCCGGTGACGGAACCTCGAGCCGTGAATAAGGACACCTTCGTCGAAGGACGAGGTCCGCCCAGGAGGCATTCCTCGTCCTCGAAAATCGTCCGTCATGTGGGGACTCGTTTTTCCTTTTTTTTCCCCCCGAGTCACCTCTCCCTGGGAAACTCATTTTTCTCCCCCACGTTCCCCGGGATGCCTGCGTCTTGGGCGCGAAGGAGTATTATCCTGGAGGGACGAACTTGAACGGGGACGTCCTGGAAAAGGCATAAAACTACCCCGCGAGATGCCGAGCTCCCCCTCGCTCTGAACCCCCTTTTTTTTTTCGGCAAATTAATTTTCCGAGTCCTCGCCATAATCCGCGAATTCCACGGCCAAAATCCTCCCTCGATATGATTGGCGACGACAAAAAATTTCATTCGCTATTTCGGAATTTGGGAAAGGACGCTAAACCCCCGCGAATCGCCGAGATCGCTTCGCCACCCTCCCCAAAGACTCCCCCTTTTTCCCCTGGAAATAAATTCCGAGGTCCTCGACATAATCCGCGAATTCTACGGCCAAACCCTCACTCGATATAATCTCCGATCGATATAATCGGCGATCACGGTCGGGGAAATTTGAATCGCGATTCGATACCCCCCGGTTCGAAGCCGAGGGGATGACAATGCAGGCAGGGAAATATTTTCCAAATTTATGATTAACCAAGCCGCGCCCGTCCATGGGAAATTGCGAAATCTCTGAATTTCTGCCTGTCCGAAATTGCGAAAGCTTCGAATTTCCGAATTTCGAAATTCCGGAGCCCGGCCCTCGGATTCCAGGAGTTGGCGAGCCAAAGGGATTCCAGCCCTCACTGGTCACCGTTCTCTGGACCGAGGAGAGTGTAAGAAGGGGTTAGATCAATTAAGCCGGGGTTGCAAGCACCCTTGAGCTTGCACATGCCATCGGTGGGCGTATGTCAAGGTATCGGCCGACACCCGGGTTAGAAAAGACGCAAAGAGGGAGAGGCGAGCTTGCATGTGCTTAATCAGAGCCAGGGATCAACCGCCAAGGCAAGGTCGGCACCAGGACCCCCCGCAAGGGGTGTACTCCGAGTTCCCGAACTTGGGACTCTATATCGATTAGTTCGTTACTCGGCCGATATCCCCAGGGCGAGTCGATTGGACCCCGATACGTGACCACCCCCACGTAGAAGCCAACCACCCCCGAGGAACTTCGGTCCTCGATCGCGAGATGAATAAATTCATGACCCCCCGCGAACTCCCGGGCCGAAAGAATTTTCCTACGGATCCCCCGGTCGAGATACGCGTGGCTTTCGTTTTTTCCCGCTATCCTCGATGTTCCTGCTGTCTCCTTGATTTTTTTTTTACGGAATTTTCGGTCGGCCGGAGGGGGTGGGAAAATGCACCGTGCACTTTTCGATCTCCTTGCCGGGAGAGACCCGATGCAACGGAGTCTCTCCCTCTCTTTCTCTCTCGTTTAAGTGGTAATTCCGTCGAAAGGACGATATATCACGGCGACAAGGATCGGTCGCAACGTGACCCGGCGGAATTCAGGATGCACCGCGCGGAGTCGGTGCACGGCGACCGTAAGCATGTAACTGGCTCGCGAGTCGGTGCAGTTTATACCGGCTGCTGCATTAGGTACACGTAGGGGGGGTGGTCGTTTGTATTGGAGTTGCTGCAATGCGCAACGGCCACTCCAGGACCACGCCACATCGAGTCCCTGTTTGGGGGTATCGTCCGGCATTGCATTTCGGAATGACTCGATTTCAGTTGTAACAAAAAAGAAAAGCGTCACGCGAGTCAAAAGTCCCATTACCGAAATAGTTCGTTAATCCCGTTGGAAATTTTCGCATGCGTACTTACCCCACTTCTCGAGGAGAATCATCCCCCAGGGTGACGATATCGGTGCTCGATTAATAGGATCGCGTAATCAAGGTGCATTGGGTATCGATTATCCAGAGTCGCGCGAGCCCCAGGCGAGTAGGATCGTCTCTTCGAAAAAACAATCTTTATTTCGATCGATCATTTCATTAAATAAGTCATAACAAAAGGAGAACCGTGAACATTGAAAATTACAATCGCATCCGACTACTATCGGTGACAATTCTATACAGTGACGATCCTTTCTCATATACTTAACTATTTACAAGACATCCAGCTTAACGTTCGGTTAGTTTTCTCGCATGGTTTATTTCTTCCTTAATTTGCATACTCGGTGGAGGGTGGGCGCGCTTAATTCGCGATCGTTTATGCACTCTAGGGGCGGTTTTCGACTCCACCGGGGAGATAAGCACGTTTCCTCGTATAACACTACGATACGACTTTCTTGATTGTCTAGGTGTCGCGCAGTTGGGTCAATTTTAATTCAACCCCCCGCCTCCCCTCGAACCTTTTGCCCCCCCGAGAGGCTATTACGTATGTATGTACAGGTGACTTAATTCCCTGACGAGATAAAACCGTGAGACGACTTGACGACGTCGCGAGATCGGTCGCGACGAGGTCCAATTGACCATTTAAAATATTTGTTATGTTTCTCATATGATCTTCCCACCCTTCTCGACACCTCGGAAAGGTGAGCGGACGAATGCGACGGGGGCGGAGGAGGGATAAATGGAAATAATCGAACCTACCCTGAAATTAAAAAGTATCCCTCGAATCAGAGAAACACCCCTTCCAATGGTACCTAAAAGAAGATGTTCCTCCGGTTCCATGAATTCCTTTTTTCATTTTCTCGGGGTGTAGAAAATTTCGGGGATCCGAAATGAGATCAATGAAAAGGGGTGATTTTTTGCTCTTCTTTTTCTCTTCCTTGCGGATTTCGGAAACCGATGGGTTGTTCACTTCGAAATTGTGGGAAATTATGGTTTCATTCATCAATTAAGTCCTGCGATCGGACAGACGGTAAAATTGGTCTCTCTTTCTTTCTTTCATTTTTTTTTTTTACGAATCTCGAGGGAGCTTTCCCGAAATCGACGAGGGGGGTCCCTTCAACTGTGAGGGGGTGATCTGAAATTAGATGGCTCCGTTACGAGAGGGTCGAACGAGAGAGTTAAACGAGGCCGTTCAACGGCGTCGCTCTCGCTCGAAATACGAGAAATCTCCACTCGAACGAGAATCGACCGAGAAATGTCACCGCGAACGGGGCCAAGGGAAAGCACCTTTCATCACGAACCTCGAAACAGACGTAAAAATACGTATTAACGGCGAACGATCGAAATCGCTTCCACTCGCCCCTTGGCAAAAAACGCGAGTAGACTAAAAACGAGCACGAAGACCTTCCTTGTCCATTTCGCGGATCCTTTCCTTTTTAATATCTCCAATTACCCTCTCTCCCATTTTCCTACACCTTCTTTCTTTTTCACCCGTGTCTTCCAATTATTGCGTTACGTCCGAGCAGAAATTTAAATCCTTCTGTAAGGTGATATGGAAAGGTGCTGTACATGTATATATATATATATATATCAAAACCTCGAAATATTTATATAAAACTTTCCTCCAAACTGGGTAGAATTAAATGATAATAATTTCAACGGGATTATGGAGGTCTTGAAACTCAGATTTCAATTGTCGACTAGAGAAATATGTTCCTCCTTGGTTCTTGTCCGGTATGACTAAGAAATTCTTTTCAGCGGTATTAAAATCTCCACTCGGGTATTTTCAGTTTAATTCCTCAAGAACACCCACTCTGAGTAGGAAATTTCTTTCAAAGGAATATTTTCTTTGAATTAACAAAATATCTCGTCGTTTCGATGAATCTCTTTTTCTGTGCGTTCGGCGACGCGTTCGGTTAATCCACGATGTAAACGCGGCCCGATCAATAGTCGGTAATTTCGTGCCTCGGTTGGCATTTCTCGTGGCTGTCGAATTAATCTACCATTAACGCGTCCGCGATATGCGCGATCGATCCCGATCGAGCGGAAATCCAGGAAATCGAAGAAGGGAACCCCTCGCCGTTAGACTCGCTCTCATTGTGCGTACATGTCTTCATTACCCTTATTTCGTATCTACGAATCGATTCATGCGCGCCTATGCGAGTATGTTTACCTTTGGCTGAATCTACGAGCGAGTTAATAAATCGCCCAGGTTTATTATTACGCATCCGGGGATTTATCGGCGATCCAATTACGTGGGCAGAGGGTGCACACCTCGTTACCGATAAATGTCCTCTTAACGTTTCAATCCCCATAGCTGGGCTTTAAATATTCCACCCTGAGAGAAAAGGAAAACAATCAGCTGACCGAAAGAAATATTAATTATCACCTGAATCTCATATAATTGTTAGGAACAATTATTTGAGAAGAAAAATTGAGGTTCACTTAAAACAAATTTCGTTTACTCTTTTTCTCTTTCTCTTCGGGGCTGAAATATTAAAATGCTTTATGTTGGGTTTTTTTTTTTCATTGAAAGGTACCGCGTTACTGGATCGGCCTTAAATCTCGATTGCAGCTCCATTGTTGCTCTTTGCGAGCCTTATTGCGTGAGATACATGAGAGTTGCGATTTCTGTCTCCGATCCGACCTCTTCGCATTTTGATTATGTTGCCCGGCGAAACCGCATCCCGCGGTCTCGCCGCGTGCGGAAATCGCGACGGGACGCGGATTTCGAGCCTCGGTTCCCGCCAGTCGACAAATCTCATCCTTAGAAATCGCTACCTACGGTTTATTTATTCCTCCCGCGGTTATTTACAACCCTGCGGCCTGTCGCTGCGTCGCCCACGTATGGGGAGGAAAAAGGAAAAATGCGGCGCGAGAGAAATTAAATAAATGCCATCGGCGCTTGCGCATCGGCCGCGAAAAGCGCACTCGATCGGGGATTATCTTCGGATGGAGAATTTCCGCAGCCGTTCCGCAACCATTCCTCACCTCCTCTTCGGTCGTCGCTCCCTGAGCGAGCCTTAGCGACGAGCAAAATCCTGGTCTAATCAATGGAATATTCTTTGGATTATTTATAATTATTCTTTGAATTAATATATCTCTTTGGTACTACTTCAAGAAATTTTCCTTCGGTTCGATGAGTTGCTTTCTCTCGGTGCAGGACCGACTTTGCTCGTCACTATAGTGAACCTTCCCCGTGGAAAATCGCTAAATCAAATACAAAAATACACGTCGCCAGCGACGTTTCCAGTCTCCTCGGGGACGAGATTCCGCGACCCTGGACCGCCTCGAAAACGCGACGGAAAAATTCCGCAGGGGGAAGAGGGAGAGCCGAGAAAAGGAAATTCGGATCGTGAGAAGGAAAACTCGCGAAATTCCCCGCGACCCGAAAACGTCGTCCGTGTTCTCTCGCAAATGGCCTAGTCGTCGAATTATCAATTCTGAATTTTGAATTATCAATTAAAAATTTTCAATTTTCAATTCTTAATACCCGGAGAGGAAGTTAATTTTTTCACCCCGAAGAGAGCTTACCCAGGAAAGACAGAACGTTCCCAAGAGCAATAAGCTCCCTCCCACCTGCAGGAAAATCCGCCGCGCGTAAGTTCCGCGTGTCGCCGTGGCGGAGATTGCGCGTTACCCGGCACGCGCGGCACGTAATAACCGGCACGTAATAAAAAGCTCGTAAAGCGTTTAACAGGAGCATTTACGGGATCCGCGAGAGAAAGCCCACGGTTTCGGTCGGCAGATCGCGAAAGCTGGTCAGTCATCGAGGTCCTCTTCAAGTTCCTCTTCGGAGTTCTCTTCATGGCTCGAGTTTCGTCCCCTCGGTTCCCGATCCGGGCGGCCATCCCAAGGGACGCGCAGCATCCAGGCCGAAAGCTTATCCAGCATTTCGCTCCGGAAGTACACGTACGTCATGACACGTGGAACATCGAGCTTGCCAGAGTATTTAGCACCTGCGAGTGGCGAGGTGATGACTAGAGAATCACATCCATCCCCAGGACGGAGAAGAGCCCAAGAACCGCTGAGAGACGGTGGGTTCCTCTCCGTGCCTCGATCACAGCATCCAGGAGTCGCTGGGCCAGGTCAGGGTCCCGCCTCTAAATTTTCACCCCAGCTCGCGGATCTCATTATCACCAGCGTATATACAAGAAAACTCCGACATGGCATCGAAAGACCTCTCGAAATCTCGATCGCCGTAACATCCGATCCCTGACCTAGGCCAGCGTCTGATAAATCGCCCGTTCCTCAACGCCGCCCTTATATCATCCCTTATCGCGAATGTGCAGCGTGCACCGCCTGGTCCTGGGTGGCGATGCGCCTGGAAATCGCGACAACTCGCTCGGGGAAGGCGAATCGATGCAGCTCGATCGCTTTATTGCTTTCCTGGGAGGGTTTAAATCGACATCCGGTTCAAAGTCGACATTGATCATCTGAAAATGCAGAAACGAACGTTGAGATTAGTCCCTTGGAGCACGGCGCCCCTTTTAGCCGGCAATGCACCTGGTGGATATGCGGAGGGGGTGCCACGCGAAACGGGGGGGTTGCACCGTGCCATAATTACAATTACCGCAAATTGACCGACTACCCTTCGGATAAGACAGGTACACGAAGACACCTCGGCTAGGTAAACGGCAAGTCACATCATTGGTGTATGTACAGTTTGGAAGAGGGTAGTTTTATGCAAATAGGTGCAACGTGGGGGGGTGGATGGCTCTCTTGCGGGATTTCTTGTCCCCGGCAGGAAGAAAAAAAAAAAAAACCCCGGCGTCCCTTTTCCGAGAAACTGAAACGAATCGACGGTAATCCTGGGAATCAGGGAATCGCGACAAACGCCGCTTCCTTCGGGAACGGTCCTCCCCGATTGCGAGATAAACCCTTATCGGGGATAAAGGGGAGTTACGGGGAGTCGATAACGGGGGCATTTGCATACCCCCTCGCGTTTCGCGCGAGCTTTCATCCGGGAGACGAAAAGGGTGGAGGGAAGAGTGGGCGAAGTCGCAGGCTACGTACAGGGGGTGGGTCTCATACACCAAGGGGGGTGGAATTACAAGACATCGAATGGGGTTTCTGGACTTTTTGGGGGGGGTGAGACTTCCTCCAGAGAATCGCTCCCGCACGTCGACTCGAGATCGAGAATTTTCGAGGATCCTTGGGGATTTCGTATCCCGAGGGCTAGACCCTCGTAATTATTGCATCTGATTGTTGGTACGCAGGGACGCTACAAGATGGCCGCTACTTCTCCACCGGAGAGGACTTAACGAACGCACGACCGTTTCCCGGCTCGTCTCGACTCGATGATTAGCTATATTATGTACATGAGTATTTACAAGCGACACGCGCGACGACGGACCGCCCTTGCCTCGTGAGATATCGCCGTGGGGAAAGAAAAAATGGGGTAAAGTCGGAAAACAATCTCGCCGCGGCGTCGTTAAACGCAAGGCATTACAAGCTCCAGCACACGCGAGAATTAAATCCCGCGAAGGTTAACGAGCTCGACGTGGAAGCGAGATAGAGAGGAGGGAGGCCGTCATTTTCGTTCTCCCTGCGAAAGATCCAAGATGGCCGCCGCGCCCGCCTCCACCTCGGCACTTCGAGGCTCGCTAAGGCGAGGGTAATCCGTCGTTTTCCGTCCGGCCGACGTCTTTTAACGAGAAGACATTATTGCGCGATTAGTCGGTCCAGGTTCCCAGGGCCTGGCACAACCGGAAGTCGAATTAAAGACGCCCTTAATTGCGAGTATTGCACAGCCGGCGCGCGGAGGTTCCTAGGCGTCCCTGTAGGGACGCTGCCGGTGCGCTCGGGGACAGTGGGGGATAAGAAGGGTCTTGGTGCCCTGGCAATGGGAAATCCGCGGAGAGGGCGTTCGTCTCCATCGGGGAACGTCAGGGGCCGATAAGAGGGGAACCTCCCCCGAAGAGGCCCCTGAAGAGCCCGAAGAGCGACCGGCAGGATACTTCTTCCTCCAAGACGCTCCTCCAGCCCGGAAGCTACCTCGAGAGCTAGGTCGCTCTAACCTCTCTAACTTAACTTGGTGCAGTCTTTTTTTTTTTCTCCGTGGCGTCCCCGCTGTTGGTGTCCGATCTTCCTCTCGGAACCGATCGAGCCTTAGGCCGGGACGGCGTTACCAACCTCTCCTCTCGAAAATCAGCCCTCGGGAGTCGTCGAGATTCGCAGCGCGCGAGGCCCCCGCTCGCGGAAAGAAAAAAAAAAATATAAAAAGCGGAATCGAACCTCGGGCCTCGAAATCCGCAGCGCGCGAGGCTCCCGCTCGCGGCAAATGTACAGGAAGCGGATCGAGCGGAAGTCGGCGACCTCGTTCTCGAGGGCCTGCGAGGTGCCGGTCGGAGCTTACTTACGCTAACTTTGGCAATGGGATATCTTTCGGGGCCCTCCGGGCCGCGCCGGGCCCCAGGAGGGGCGGACACTGGGAACATCGAATTTGGCAACACCAGGGGTCCGCGGGCGGACCTGGAGGACGGCTCCTCCTCTCCGAGGTTCGGCTTAAAACCTAAACTTGGTCTCGTCTCAGAGACTGCTCCCGAACTCGCTCGATCTCCGCCGGTCGATGTGCTTGAACGTCTCGGAGAAGATGCTCCTGGTGCGGTCGTCGTACCTGGAGGTGTCGCGGGGGAGGTCAGTTAGGGTGAGAATCGAGGGGCATGCGCGAATAAGAGCAAGAGAACAGGCGGTTCTGGCGGATGTCGAGGCGGTACCTGAGCGAGGGCCTCCTGAAGTCGAGAGCCTCCAGGTCGGAGGGCTCGCGCCTGCAGAGGGAGCAGAAGGCGCACTGCAGGGTGTTCTTGAAGGCCTCCCGGAAGTCCCGGTTGAAGTACGCGTAGATGAGGGGGTTGAGGGCGGAGTTGGTGTAGCCGATCCAGAAGAGGACGGCGATCACCACGTCCGGGCAGGGGCAGGACTCCCCGCAGAGGGACGTGGTGACGTACCACAGGAAGAAGGGCAGCCAGCAGAGGATGAAGGTGCCCATGATGATGCCGAGGGTCCTGGCGGCCTTGTGCTCCCGCTTCATCTTGATCATGTTCTTGTCCTTGGTGGGGGTGTGCAGGTTGTCGGTGCTGATCTCATTCAGGGTCAGCGTCTTGGAGGACCCACCCCCGCTGTTCAGCTCCCCGTTCAGGTTGTTCAGGTCCTTGCTGGGCCGGTGGCTCAATAGCATCGCGTTCCCCATCCTGCTGTGCATCTGCTTCTCCTGGCGGTTCGCCTCCTTGAAGATCGCGAAGTACGTCAGGGTCATGATGGTGCACGGGATCCAGAAGGAGATGCTGGAGCTCAGGATCGCGTAGCCCTTGTTCACTTTGAACTCGCAGAGCTCGGGGTGCTTGTGCCGGTGCACGCTGTTCTCCATCGTGGTGTACCACCCGTTGAAGATGGGCACGAAGGAGATGATCGCCGGCGACAGCCAGCAGGCCAGCAGCATGTACGCCACCACCCTCTTCGTCATGTTCCCCCGGTACTTCAGCGGCTTCACTATCGCGTAGTACCTGTCCACCGAGATGCACATCAGGTGCAGGATCGAGCTCGTGCTGAAGTAGACGTCCAGCGAGTTCCACACGTCGCACATGAAGTAACCGAACAACCAACGCCCGGTCACCTGGACGCTCGCGTTGAACGTCATCGCGAACATCGCCACCAACATGTCGGCCAGCGCCAGCGACACCACGAAGTAGTTGGTGATGATGCGCAGCTTCCGGTGCCGCATCACCGACACCATCACCAGCAGATTCCCGAAGATGGCGGTCGCGATGATCAGCCCCAGGATGCACCCCTTCAGCACGGCCAGGGGAACCCCTGGCCAGTCCTCCGAGCCCTCCAGGCCGGGCGCGACCTCGACCTCGCTCCCGTTCCCGGAGGGGACCTCGCTCGACCACGAGTACAGGCTCGAGCTCTCCGGGGCCCCGGGCGGACTCGTCGTGGCCGCCTCCACCGAGGTGGCCATCGTCTCTCTCCCAGCTCCTGACCTCGACCTTAGGTCGCCGAGGTCGGCGACGGCGCCGAGGGCCCCGGCCCCGTGCCAGGGCTGCGACCCCTCCGCATCCGGGGCGATGCTTCCTCGACCGAGGAGTTCACCGGGACCTCGACCTCGACCGGCTATCTGGAATGGCAGAAGAACATATTCCATCGTCATTTCTTGCTATCGAACGGGTTACGGTTCTGCACAAATTTCCGGGATATTATCGTTAAGACATTTTCTTTTAGTCTAATTGGCACCTGATAGTTCGAGTACCTGTTAGACGTGGATCTCTAGGATGCACTCGATGCACCTTGAGGTATCTAGAAGGGAGTTCGTTGCCGTAAATGAGGTTGGACCGAAAACCGAGCGACCTTGAATTTGCTGGGCTTTTGACGCCTATATCGCGGCACGACTGCCAGCGTGTCAAGTGCATCCCCGCTCGTCGCGGCAATTTATGATCCGCTATTTTTGCGGTACATTTAGGTCAATTATCCGACGGAAGCGCCGAGTCGTGTAACTACATCGTGGAGTCTCGTCGACGGCGAGACGGAGAGACTCCGAGCGCGACCAGGAACTTGCTCTCCGTTCACGCGTGCCTTAAGGTGACGTGAAAGTGCCGCCCTTATAAAACTTTTCTCCAAATTGGATTTACCTAATCGATTCGCACATTACGATATAAATACGAAGGGTAAAAGGAAGGTCCTGAAATTCATGAAATTTGAATTCTTCACATATGCCTTTGGAGGTATCCTTAAAATGTTATCCAAGAAATGAAATTTCACGAGGATCAGTTTGGAAGAAATTTTCCAAGGCGAGGAAGTCCTCGAAAAGGATGACTTTTCCCCCGGGAAAAACGGGACTCCAACCCAGTCAACCGGAGGACACATCAAGGAGAGGAGCAAGGGGAAACTTCCGGTGCAATTTTCCCGCGAAAAGTCGTCGCAGGTGAACGACTTCCACGAGACTCTCCGGTGGTTTTCCAAGTCGGCCCGAAGTCGAAGTTCGAAGGAAAGGAGAGAGAGAGGAAAAACTCGCATTTCCCGGGGGACGAATAACTGAAAGCCTCGTGACACCCCGTGTCACCTCTTCTTGGGATCTTCCAAATGAATCCTCCACCTCGTCCCTTTTCCAGTTTCAAGACCTTCATCAGGACCTCCGTGATCACGTGTCAAAGTTTCAAATAATTCGATTTTAAGAAAAGCTTGACAAATATTCCGACGTATCGATATATTTATAAGATGACCCTTTCATAACGCCTTAAGGGAACCGCCTTGAAAATGAGAAAGATAGAGTTCGTCTTGCCCGAAATTGAGGGTAGTTCTCCCTTGCCTTGTATAAAAAAATGGCCGCGGTATATAGAGACTACAATTCCACGACGGAGGATCCCGAGGGACATCCGGAACCCCCGGGCGCCTCCAGGGCGGGAGTTCCGGCAATTTCATCCCCATTTAACCGCGACGGCCTTCCCGCGGCGTCTCTAACGCAGAATTCTTCGCATTTAAGCCGGTCAAGGGTGCTCGTTGGCGTTCAAGATCAATGCCAACCCCGCGGCGCGTCCTAATGAGAATTTCTCGCATTTCGGACAATGCTCGAGCCCTTCCCCGAGATCCTGCAGGATTCGCTAATTGGTCGCCAGGATCCTTCCCGGAGCCACGCCGGATGCGCCGAGCAGGCTGAAAATATTCCATAGATTCAAGATCCATAATTCATCCGAATTCTAGATCGAGATGAACCTAGAATCGAGATGCGGCTCGCGATCTTAAGGGGGTGTAAAAATGAAATTTCTCCTAACTGAGTGTACCGAATCGTTTCAAACTTTGCGACGTGAACACGGAGGCTATAAGGAAGGTCTTGATACTCACAAAATTTCAGTTGCTTTTCTCTTTTTAATTGTAAAAAATCTGACATTTTTATTTACCGCGCAGTAAAGTGCGAAGCGATTCAGTTCAGACTTTCGTATCGCCTTAACGCGACAATTCATCTCACCTACGTGTCCCGTTTCGAAATTGCGCCGCGAAACGTGCAATTCACAGGAGAGGATCGTTGCAAATTGCCTTTGCTAATTACAATCGGTCCGCCTCGTTATTTGCCGCCGGAAAATTAGTCGAGAATGCCGCCGCCTCGACCGGTCGATCGGATCCCCTTCGGAAAATGATGCAGAAAATTCGTGGGAAGGGACAAAACTCGAAAGATTATTTTTATCGGGCCATTTTATACAACATTTCCTGCTTTCACTGCCGAGGGAAAATGGGCGCAACAAATGCTTTCGGCCAAGTTTATTATACAACGGGGGCGTGCTTCCTATTTTTTTTTTTATCCTGGGTTTTCGATATAGAGCGCTTTTGTGGGGAAAGGGACCAAAGTGCAGGGGTTAATAAGTCGTTGATATTCAGGAAAAATGAGCCGAGATATCATCAAAGCGAGGGATACCCGACACGGAGGGAAAGATAGAGAGAAAGGAAGAGCCTCGGTCTTGTCGTCGTTTCCCACGGATGTGAATATTTCAGGGATTTTTTTTTATGCTCCCGGGGCGCCCCGGGAGCTCCGAGCAATGTTTATGATCCATAAAGCCCAACAAGGACGAGCGTGCATTCTTTATGCGAAAGCAGTACCGACAAGCACGGATGATTTCCCTCCCAGATCGCGATTTCCAGATTAAGGCCCGGATTACCAGATTGCTCCGTTTTTCCGCCTAGTTGAAAATTACCGAGTCGGGAACTCGACTCGTCGAAGTTTTTGAAATGAATTCCTTTTTCCGCAGCTTTTCCGCCTCATCGGTCTTCTGTACTCTATTTCCGTCACTGTCGTCGGCGACAAAAAATCGCCTCACGCGCCAGCAATGATCGAATGAAAAAGTTCGGGATAAAAAATTAGAGCTCACTTGCGCAACGATGGTAATTAATTGAATGCGACAATCATTCCTCGTTGCTAATCGGCGGAGATCGCATGGTATCACTTAACAGAGGGAGAAAAAATGCGAGACGTTTCAACGACTTCCACAGTCCCGGATGATCGATACGCATTAATCGACGATCGCGCGAGGAGAGTCGAGGAAGGGACGAGAGATCCGCCTTGACGAGCGAGGATCGTTAGATTCCAATTGTGCAAACGACGCTGTCGTGTCGTTCGTTACTCAAGAATCACCCGAGGTTCAATTAAACGCGCCGGTAATTCCTGCCGAGGTATCGATCGCGTCGGTTTCTCTCCGGAATGGGAGACACCCGCGAGAAATATGAAATGTCCCAACTTCGGTCGCTAAAATTATTATTGTTAATGTTGAGTATTAACGAAATACGGGAAATGCATATATTTACAAGGACTCCTTCGGAGCGCCACGTGGTCGGCCAACGCAAGAGGCGACGCGGCGTACCCGGGAAACCGCGAGTTCCACTTAGGTTCGATGAATCGAATCGACGTTCGGGGGTATTTCCGCCAGGGGTGGATTATTCCAATTTGCCGATCAAGGCACGACGATCCAGCCGATAAATTCGGCCGGGAAATGAAATTCCGTTCCGGGGGTAAATCAGGAATCGAATGGCAGCGGGCCCGTGTTACCGCGGTTTTGTATTCGCCCCCGCCGCGTCATTGGCTTTAAACAGTCAGGCTTAAATGGGTTTCGCGTGCAATTTGAATTTCAAATCCAGCCAAGTTCGGGCCTGCCCCATTCCGCCTGGTGGAGGAGCTGGATTCGCGTATTTCTGCGTATATCCTCGCATATGTATCCGACGCTCTCTGCAAATCGGCTTTCTCCTTGATCTTCCGCCTCCAAGAAGCGGCATCGAGGAATTCCCTCGAGCTGGGACGGATGTGGAATTCCGCGGTGTCCGTGGTGGTGTCATCCTCGGGGCCGACGTATAAATAGAGGCCTCGTCGCGGTGCTTCTTTCGAAAATAAAATGACAAACTGCCGGGGGTGGCCGCGAGTGGGTCATTGTCGAAAAAAGCCTCGAGTCAATTGGACCGTGGAGTGCCCCGCAAGGTTTGTCAATATATCTCCCAGTAGGGACAACATCCTCTCCAAGACGAGCTAGTTTTTTTTTTTTTTTTATTTCTCCTCCTTTCCTGCCTTACGCACGAAAAAGAGAAATAATTTGCTTGCACTTACTCCCGGTCGTCCCTCGATTTACGCGGAGCACTTGTTCCACGTGGATTCGTTTCCCGATGAAAATCGCGTAGTCTGTCGGGACGGATGAAAAAATGTTGGAAATAAATTATGTACTTTTCTTGTTTTTCCTCTCGAAACGTCGAGAGGAAAGCGAGGGAAAGAATGGAAATGCATGAGAATCAGAGTGGCCGGGCAGAGTCTAATGAAGCTCCTGAATAAAAGTCCTGTAGGATGCGCCCATCCCTTCCAGTCTTCCAGGACCCTCCGAGATTTTTCCAAGGCTTCCATTTTCCATTTCTAAAATCGGCTTTCCCGTGACTTTCCCGGAGGAAGAGTCGCGAATCCAGTTTCCTCGGGTTTACAAAGGCGGGAATTTCCTCAGGATTCGAGAGTGGCGATTCTATAGTGGGGGGAATTGTGAAATTCCCAGATTGAAATGGGGGAAGGAAGGGGGTAATAGCGAAACCGAAGGAATCGGGACGAGGACGAGAAAAAAAAGGAGGAGCCTAACGAACCTGCTAAACTTTCTGGATAACGCGGAAGGACGTTTTCCCGGGTCTGAAAACGTCTCCTGGGCTCTAAGGCGATTTTCCATTTTTCGCGAATATTGCCTTTCCTCCGTCTCGAAAAGCCCCTTTTGACATAACCAAACGAAATCAATTTCATGGGAAACGGGGAACGTCTTGCCTCCGACGCCGACTACGAAAAAGCCCATTCATCTCCGGCGAATGAAAACAAAATTATTAATAAATCCCGGCCGGCTCTTTGGTGGCGGAGTGGTTTACAAAACGAGCCCAATTTCTCATCCGCCTCTTTGCAACAAGACACATCGTGGTGGACCCCTACTCGAAGTGGCACTGGGTGATAATAATGGAAACGAGGTCGACTCGACAACTTCAGAAGAGAAACCGCCAAGCGGTCCTCCCATCACTTGTCGAGGAACACCCTGAAGAGACTTCCTGAACGAATTGACCCTGGATAAAAAATAAAAAAAAGAAGAAACAGCGGCCGAAAATATCACCATTAAAAAATCGCCA